CGCTGGCCAAAGCGGGGCGGCGGAGCGTTTACGATGAACGCCACGTGTGCTCTATGCGTGGAAAAGGTGTGCAAGAGAGAGAGAGAGAGAGGTTGGTTGTACGCGGCGTGTTGCTTTCGATCCACGGCGGTATGTGGGGCTCTGGGGCATTTTTCGTTCGCGTTTTTCCACCCTCGTTTCCCACACTCCCTTCACTCACGTCTCTGGCTAGACACTCGGAAGCTGGCTCGCGCGATCGCGCCGCGGAATTCGGTGAAGAGGGTTTCGAGTTTCAAGTAGGCTTTTTATTTGGGCTCTGCGGGATTTTCTCGCTCTTCGGTGTTTGTTTGCTTTTTCACGGGGCTCCGTGGATGATGTCTGTGTCGGATGGGGGTGGATCTGTTGGTAGGATAGACTGTTTCCAATGACGGAGTTGGTTAACTTGTTACACGATGTTTAAATCGATAACGATAGAGATTGTATATTTGGAAGTTGAAATCGTTTGAATTGTCGCATATGTATGTATACAGGGTGTCTCGTTTAAGGTGGCTCCCGCAAAGTTTTGAGAATTATAAGGTTAAATATATGCCAATAATGATGAATTAAGTCAATTAAATAATTTACAGAAATGTTTTCATATTATTGTTTCGTAATTAGCGGCACATATACAATTATGAACCTGTAAACTATCATCTTACAAACCCCTGTTAAAATTGAAGTCTGGCAGTGGTCTGAAAAATTGTTTTCCGTGGAATTGTTCAATTTAAATTTTTTGAAACCAGTCGTGCCCTACGCTCACCACTTCTGCACGCAGACACCTCCCACCCCTCCCAACGATCTAACGATAATTTTCCCTCTATCTAGTCCCCCATATCTACAAAATGAATCTCGTTCTTCATAATCCCCACCAGGAAGCAACCCCTCATCTCCCAAGACTGCGAAACAATGACCCTATACAATCCGATTCGAGTATTCTCACATTGTTCCCACCGGTTGATTCACGGTTGCTCCTTGCCCCGTTGAAGAAAACGGAAGCCCACGAAAAATCGCGTGCCCGTGGTGGTCCGATGACACGGCTGAATTTACCGGCAATTGGTAATGCGGCTCGACTGCAGGACAATAAATCGGTATGGGCAACTGGTCGAGCCAACGAGCCGTGTCCCTCGTTCGGGCAACGAGTGTCCTCGTCGAACCCTCTCTCTTTCGCATCCCCCCACCCGTCCGCCCCTCGTGGAACGTTTCCTGACGAGGGAAAGAGAGAAAAGCTGTGGTACAAGAGAGGGTTGAAGGGGGTGAGGAGGGAGCCTGAGGGTGGCGGATGAAAAGCCGGAGGGCGAAAAGGGGTGGCGGAGACTATCCCCCGACGTTCACCGCACGCTATTCTTCATACTCCATTATCCGTGCTCTCCGCTCCACTCCGCTCCATTATGCCGGGCACCGCGTATAAACGACGCGAGCCGCCGCCGTTCCGTGCCACCGTGATGTGTCCATCAGGACTGGCCGACGTTACCTTCGCGAAACACCGATAAACACCGTTCTCTGCGGCCGGTTTGCCCGCGACACGCAGCAAAAACGCCGTCCTTTTTAGTGCCCCACCCGACGTTTTACTGTTACACGCGTGGCTGTAGGGGATGGAACGGAGGGATGAAGAGGAGAACGGGTTTGGGTCTTGACGGGGATGGGTACGATCGAGGGGATGGTAGATTTTTGTAATAGAGAAAATAGAAATTGGAATGGGGGTTAATTGGTATTAGAGTGATCCTCGATGAATGAAATACTAGCAATGGAGTTATTTTTACCGTTATGAGAGGGGGTCAACTATCTTGAACATAGTGTCCCATATGCATGCAAGACTATAATCTTTCTCTTTCTTAAAATATAAAATTCTACGATTCGCCCTTCTCCGTTTCCAAACCCTTCAAGGACATTTCCCGTAACTTCTGTGCAGAGAGATCGATCAACCCTCTAATTCGCGAACGATTCAACATGGACAGAGCGTAGCCAGGCTTTAAAATTTAATCAACGAGGATCGCTAATATCCGAGCCAACCGCTTTGCAACACTGAATTCGGTACGTGTATTCGTTAGCGGGGCGCGGCTCGTACCAGAACCAGCAACGGGGAGAGAGGAGAGTCTTCCTCTCGGGGTCTACGTTTAATTAAATCTTTTGCGAATTTACATACACGCAGCTCCGTCGGGGCCGAGGATCCTTTGGAAGCGGCGGCGGCTTTGGGGGAAGAGCTTTGTAGAGATTCGTCTCGTTACCTGTGTAACCCTTTACCTGATGGAAACGTCATTAAGAACACCGATCTTATGTATCTTTTTTTCTTTCTGCGGCCACCGAGGGTATCGTCGACCCTTGATCCCCAACCCCCGCGGGCCATGGACCAAAGTTTGAACTACGACGAAGCGTAAAGCGATTAACCCTTTGATTTCAGGACTTTCGACGGTGCTCTTGAAAAACACGTCTGTAAATACGCCCAGTCTTTGCAAGTTCTGATTGTGTTTCTTTACTGTTGGTGAAACTCACCGTTTGACCAGCTGAAAATTCGATTAATTGTACATGGAAAAAAAATCAAAGACTGCAGAAGATGATACACAGTGACTCACAAATTCTTTCGTGGAACACTGTAATATTTATTTAATCAAATTATACGATAATCGGAAATTTTGATTTAATATCCAGGAACATTTATTAGGGAAGATTGGTGGAATTTGACAGTAACACCAATAAATAAGAACCTTATAAACAATTTGTACACTTACTTGTTTCTGTCGAAAGTATGCGAATAAATCTGTGAGTCGCTGTATTTGTCGAAAAAATTAGAATACTGGATTTTTAAATGAATTAAACTAGTGTAAATAGAGAAAGCTTGAATAATAGAGGAGTAAAAAAATGAATTAATTTCCAAGGTAGTATCAGGATCTAAAGGATATTTATCTTCAGTAATAATAAAAAGATTAATGGTTAGATATTCGGACCACATTGAAGATAACAAAAAAAAAAAAAAATAACCGGGATCTGTGGAACCATGAGAAACAGAGAGACACGTCGTCGATCATATTTTGAAATACACTTTTATTTCGACTCGGTCAAAAACTACGATAACAATAGGTCGGTAGATATGTATATCGGAAATCATTCTTGGGGGGGAAAATGCAGAGTGTTCGTCGTCGGCGCGGATAGGAGGGGGAAAAAAAACACGAATAAATCGTCGTCGACGCGTTGAATGAGCCACGGCCGTCCGTGATCGGACACCGTGGACACCGGTTTTCGGTTCTCTCTTTTTTTTTTTTCGGTTTTTCGTTTCCAACGGGGGGAATTTTCGATGTGAAAGCGTTCCGTCGCCGACGCTGCGGCGACGGGGGTTTTTTCTTCGTTGAATCGCGAGAAGCTTTCCCTCCTTCGTGCACGCGAGCATTCGATATTATTTTCCATTTTTTTCTTTTTTTTTTTTTCTTTTCTTAACGTCGACTCGACACGAACGTGACACCAGCGTCGTTTAATCTCGGTCGAGTAATTTTTTTTGGCCGCGCGTTTCACCGCGTTCGAACGATTATTGCACACGAGTCCTCAGTCAAATCGATCGCGTTTTATACTATGAAAACATAATCGAAAGAAATAGAAGGTGCGTCGCGCGGCGATTCCATGGCTGCGCGTACGAACTACGGAAGCTGCTTTGCTCGTCCTGGACGCGAAACGATGTAACTTAAAGATCGATCTTGAATTTAACATTTTTACTGCCATTTCAGTCGGACGTGACATTATTTCCAGTTCTGTATTGAAAAAGTGACCCTTTAATTTGACCAGTGGGGTCTGAGGAACCCCAAGAATATTTTTAAAATATTTTATTCTTATTGAATAGTTACTTAAAGCGATGCTTCTTTATTTCGGCGTTCTTTTTACGTGAGAATGCAAAACAACTGGTTGTGTAATAAGTAGGTGATAAAATTCATGTGATAAATAAGTAATAAAATTTCTGTTATTACTTACTAGTTAAGGGTTAATTATCATAGTATGGTATTGTATAAAATATAATAGACTAGGCCTGGAATAGAATGAAAGCAATAGAATTATCACCAAAAGGAAGAAATGTTCGTGTTTCCTGTATGGAGTAGTCATCAAACAATAGAATAATTTAAATTAGGTTAAATCTTTATATTACATACTTTTCCTCACATTTAGAAAAAGGGTCCTGAGTCCCCAAAAATGTTCACAGGTCTGGCAGTCAACGTGCTAAATTACAATCGATCTTCCAAACAAAAATTCAAAACACCCTGAGAGTCTCACACTGATGTCTGACATCCGTCTAGAGAGCACTCTTCCTCCACGACTGAAGCGTATCGCGACGTAGTCCCTTCACATATCCACGAGAATGATTATTACATAACATTCTCAAACGAACTATAACAAGATTAGATAAGCTTAAGATCACAGAACCGGTCTCCAGGCCGAGCAACACCAAATAACCAAGTCCCAAAGACTCGTTCACTCAACCGTGAACCACCCCCACGACGCACCAGTACGCCCCACATCGCGTAGTCCGTCGACAGTGATGAATGACTCGATGAAACGACAATGCTCTATCTATGTACAGTGTTATATACATCATCATCATCGTCACAATCACCGAAATCGCGACCTACGCTCACGTCCACTCCCGCCATATTGCACACTATACCCGTTTTCTCTCTTTCTCTCAATCAACTTTCTCTCTCTTAATTACAAGTATCAGCCCGGTCTAGAAGATTCGTTGAGACACAACCAGTGAAAATGATCAGTCGACCGGCGTGCACTCTTTAACACCGTCGAACGCGCACCAGATTAGTCTATTTGTGTTCTTGTTAATGCCCAACTAGAGTAGCTTTTTAGCAATTTTCGCTCGGTCGTTCGAGCCAGCGTGTCCCACAAATCACAGTCTGCCGATCGAGGAGCAACGTCACCTTGGCTGCTGATTAAGACACCTGTCTTTTTTTTTTTTAGAGATGAGGCTCATTCGACGATATACCGGACTCTTGGTATCAGTAAGGCCTCCAGACGTTGTTGTCCGGTCTGACTTCCTCCTGCCTCACGCTGCAACTGTCCGCGACCGCTCTCTGCTCCGGGCTCTCGCTGTTCTGGAACTGATTCCCGTACAGCTGGGAGTAGAGTATACTAGGCAACACACCGGGCGTCGGGAAGTAGTTGCCGTAGTTCTGACCGAAACCCTGCTCTTCGTGAACTGGGCTCTCGGTGGTACTCGAGTCGGTGGACAGCGATCTAGGGGAGACGTAGTCTTGGTACCTTTGGCTCGGTGTGCCGGACATCAGACTGCTCAACGGGTCCAGAGGGTCAGACTGACCTGTCGTCGTCGAGTCTGGCACCACTGTGGTTGGGAGGAAGAAATACAGCTCTTGTTTTTGGGGGTGTTTTTTGACGAGGTGGCAATTTTAGGTGTTTATGTGAGAGAAGTTTCGGTGAGTCAGAAGCTTGTTTGTATCTGTTTCTCTTTTAATTGTTCACGTTTGTGTACTTTTTGTGCTCAAGCTGGGAGAAATGGAAGATTCACGGACAGTGAAAGTAGTGTGATTGTGTAGACTGCGGATGTTTATGGATTTATAGGGTCTCAGAACTTGGAAAACGCAATAAAATGAAGGTTCTAGTAAAGTGCAATACTATGTATGTGTTATTATTAATGTAGGAAAGCCAGTCGAGTAGAATTCAAGAGTCTGTCCCATTTGAATTTTTATATATTGGTATCTGAAATTGTGAATTTGTATAAAATTGAGTAAATGTAAGTTAAGTAATTTGTAAGTTCCATAGAATGAGTTTACGTTGTAGTTGTGCATTGTGTTGTATATAAGATGTAGAATATTTCAAATATTGTGTTAGAGTCAAATTTTTTTCCGGCCTTTTTGAAGTTGTTCCATATTTTCAAAATATACATATCATATTACTTTCATAGAATCAATAATCATCAGAGTTCACCGTGGCCGAAGTTACAAGCTACTAAAAAAAAATCAATAATCCACAAAATAAACAATTGTGAACATTATTACTATCAATATGGACATAAATCACTAACTAGAAAACCGTTAAAGATGAATATTAGCAAAATATTGCAGAAAAGAATACATATTCGTTGTAAAACCCCTTCAAATATTCCAATTACCGGTATTAATATTACCAAAAATTTAAACAATTATTACACCGAAACAATAACGATTTTATTACTGTTTCGCGCGTTGTTGCAAGTGACAAAACCTCCTCTTTAAAGTGGCTTTCGTTCCATATCGCTACGTCTTTCCGTCGCCGAGATATCATCGAGCAAAGGGAAACAATTTTTTAATATTTCACTATCTCTGTTCTTGTCGCACAGTCGGACCTCTCGTTCGCTCCTTACTGACCTACTCCCGAGGCCACGTGCGCGACCGACGCTGCGTCAGCTTTTTCTTTTTTCACTACTATTGTCTAGCGTACGCAATTCCCAGAAAATAAGTAGGTCAGGATAATTTTGAAGAATTCGAGCTCCATTCATCCCCCGCACCCAGTGCATTTTAAATGCAAACTTTGCGGTTCTATATCTCGGGAACGGTTTCAGATATCGACATAAGACAAAAGGCATTATGAAAGGGACGCTCTACGCTATCTCCCCAGGTAGATTACTTTTACAATTTAAATTCCTCTACGTAGCATTTTCAATTGAAAGTTTACCTCGTTATAATAAATTATAAGGATAGTTGATCAGTTCTGCTTAATTTTACAGCATCTTTGGAGTCTCTTCGTTCATTCTGTATGATAGTTTGTGCATAGTAAATACTTCAATATTATATTATCAACTTAATGGAATACACGCATGAACGTAATTTCTATGGGTCGGGTCGCGTGCCAATGTAACCAAATTCATTAATGAGAAACCGATTACGTCAAAGTACAATTCATAGTTAACCTCTTCTGTCGATGAACTTAAAATACAAATAATCTTAAATACAGTAGTTAAAGTACAAATAATAGTTTAAAAAGACCCAAATGTGTTCTCCGAGAAAAATCCAAAGACCTACCGTCCATTTTTACAAGTCAACTACTCTGTTTTAATTTACCCAAGGAACATTTTACTACACCGACACTATAATGTCCAGTTTTAGAAAAAATAGTCAGTACAAAAAAAGATATTTCTTCAGTACGAACATAAACAATAACAATACCTACAGTGTTGGAATACCTGTATATGTACCCTATTCGTAGGCGTCGAATGAGCGGACGTACTTATACATAAACGAGTCAATTACACGAGGAAATGAGGAAAGCGTTGAGACTTACAGGAGGATACCGCTGAGAACGCATCCTGCTGCGCCGTGGATCCAGCTTGGGTGCCGGATGTGACGGTGGAACCCGCTGTCGAATCGGGCGCCGTCGGCGTGTTCATGGATGCGGTCCCCGCGAAAGACGCCAACGACGACGACGACGATGGCGGCGGCGGCGGCGGCGGCGGAGGCGGGGGTGGGAACGAGGCCTGTGCCGCGCACGACGATAAAGGGCCGGGAAGATAACCAGCGTAACCAGCCGTGCTTCCGTAACCCCATGAATTGCTCGCAGTCAGACCGAACTGGGACATGTCTGAAGAGATTCGGGCTCGTTCGTGTATCAGAATACATATCCCCTATTTTTTTTATTTTTGTTTTTAATCGATATCCCCCATAAAGGGATGTTAACCCCTTGCCTTATAATGTATTAGATATCATATATGTATACTATTCATTTTTTTCTGAGTCGAAGTGAAATTCTGTTTCACTGGTATTAATATTTCAGATTTAGAGTAAATGTTACACTTGCTCCAGAAATAAAATTCCTTTTGTATCTGGGAAATTATTAACGGTAAAGGGATTTTTCAGGGTACAGTAAAAAATCGTAAGGCAAGGGGTTAAATAATATTATGTTCCAAACTGAGGTGACAGTAACTGAGATATCTACCATACCGTTAAACTGTTTCAAAGAATGCAAAGGCAATTCTTGCAGTCGCGAACGAATGGAGATGAGGATAAAACGCGACGAGGCTGTATTATTCGACAATCTATATCACTTTGCGAGTATGTATGTACATCGAAGGGCTGCTTCTTCTTTTGCTGCCCCTGCTGGGGTTGGATTTATTTTTGCGGCATATAGGCAGCATCCCCGATAGATTTTCCAATGAGTTACGGGGGAGGGAGAGAGGGACGGGGGTGGTTGAAGGTAGAAAGGTCCGAGAGAGCACGGTTTGGCGAGGTGGGGTGCAGCCGGACAGAAAACGGAGGGAGGCTGCGTCGAGATCAAAGGGTTGGTCATCCCCGCGTGGCTCTGGCCAACTCAAATAACCGAGCTAGCCTCGAACCGGCGGCAACTGGGTGCCCCCGTGACGAGGAGGAGAGCCTAACCCTAAATACTGCAACCCAGCATGCTTTCAGCTCGTTCGTTCAATTTTCGACGGGCTCCCCGGACGGATCGTCGCGCAAGAAGCTTCGACTAATGACCACCGAATTCACTATCCATATTAATTACCATCGATTACCGCCGTTAAAATTACGGTGAATTAACTGATAGTATGAAATATTCGTAATAATTACACTCTTGTAATATTTAGTTCGTAATATAAAATATTCAGAAAAAACTAGGAAGATGGTTTCAATGTATTAACGGAATGGTTTTACACACAGTTGTTACATATTCGAAAATGTCTAAAAATAATTAGATATTTCTTTAATTATTAGCAAAAAAAGCATCGTTCATCTATAACACCAATCTTCCGAATGGTTCGCAGCCAAAGGGTTAAGTGGAGCTACATATATTAAACTGTATTTTTAGCAAACATCCTATTTGTATGCCAAGGGGTTAATATACATATCGTCAGTATCATCAACCCTGCTTTAGACCAGCCACTGACATTACCAAATTCACAGAAAGACGTCGTGAGACCAGCAGTCGGATCGCGTTAGGATCGAGCGACGCGCTGACGCGAATTATCGATGTCCGATGCAGGGGGTGGTGGGGGTGAAAAAAAGTTAATAAAGGAAATACCCGGCATGCTTGATACTTTATCGGGGAATTTTCCGCGTTATCGCGTTCAGATCAGAGAAGGCGACTCATTAAATCGACCATCCACCCCCCACCCCTCCTGACGAAATATTTTCCACCGTGGATTTCTTCCAACAAGACGAGAATAAATCCCTCGCGCGATAATTTATTTCCCGTGCAACAAATTTTCTACGGTCGACCTCTCGTTTAGAAGAGATTTTATTCCCGTCGTCTGTGGACGCGGTCGGAGAAGCTTCCGGATTCTTCCAGGGAGAAAGGGTTGAGGGAGAAACTGGAGGTCGAGGCTGCGGGATTCGTGACGTTTCGCGTGCAAATTCGCGAATCCGGTTGCAAACGTACAGAGGCAGTCAGGGGGGAGGGAGTTACCACCCCGAAACGACGAGCCGCCCCTGACGTGCTCGCCGCTCCCGTGGCAACCCCTTTAATATAATATTTAATCTAGCTTTGAACAGGCTTGCGGTTTCCGCCTCTAGAGCCGAGAAGCTAGCTTGCAAGCCTAACCGAAAGCTTCGGCTGTATCCAACGGAGGCCAGCCCCGGTGTCTGGCGCTTGGAAATATTCCCAGCTTCCGGGGTGGGAGCTTTCTTCTTACGATATCAGGAATGAATTTCATTTTGGAAACGATTCGCCACCTCTTTTTGGAAAAAATGGCATTCCTAATCGATTGAATCTTATTTTATAAAAAGTGATTCTTGTTTCGCTGTGTTTGTAATTATTCCATGTTCAAGCATGTTGCTTTGAATCTTTGTATTGGAATGTAAATGGATAATGGTCAGTGTTCGAAATGGTGATTTTGAGGTGGACGATCGTGAATCGAGGTTCGACTTTAATTGTGCAGATAAGATGGTTATTGGGATACTCACTCTGACAGTTACCGGGCATCGCGTGCCTGAAGGATGACAACGGGTCCCGCGGTTGCAGCGGGCTCGGCAACGGCTGAAGAGGATTCGGTAAGGGTTGCAGGGGGTCCACCAGCGGCGAGGCGAAAAACGGACCGCCCCTCTGCGAGGCGAACGCGAACGCGTGGAACTGCTGCTGCTGCCCTAAAAGAGACAACACTGCGATCAACCGTGCGCCTGTCCAATGGACTTACGATACTCGCAGCAATCGTCTGCGATTCCAGTTGTTCGTTCCTCCAAGTTGCTTCGTCCTGAATGATTATTAAGACGATACGTGGATTCTGACCATTGGTAAAGAACATATCGACGTTTAATTTTATAATAAAAAGATTGCATTCAGAATAGAATCTGGTGGGCAACTGTTTGCTTCAGACCTAACAGACCTTTAAGGAAGTGTGGAGCTAGTTCTCTTTTAAAGTAGACCTACACTGTTGTTCATGAGATTGTAACAGTATTTAACATACCACCTCAGATCCAGTGCACTTTGTGATGCATAATAATTTTAGGATTTCTTCTCAAGGTATTTTACGTTTTTTTTTTAATTCATTTGTATATTGCAATATACATACAGTATTTTCTAAAAATAAGATCTACAAATAAAAAAAACTCTAAGATTATTGTACATTGTAATGTCCACTGGGTCTGAAGAGGTTGATCTCGAGGTAGCTGTGTAATGAATATTGACACTCTCATCTCAAGTCCTGCCTAATTTCTTTTCACTATATATCATTTCGAATGAAATAAATACCAAAGTCTAAAAACACAGACTATGATCAATTCCCTTATTCTCCATTCTGAGAACTACCAGTTGCCAAAGACCAAGCATCAACACCGCCCAAAACATGATTCGAATCCCCATTAACGTCACCAATAGCCCAAGTAGACTTGATCACTGAAAATTCACCTACGATTCTCCACAAACCGTTACCATCCCACCGGTATCGACTGGAAAAGTCTCCAGTACACAGTATCGAGTACACTCTCATTTCCCCGGGCGTCGTTCACCCGACAGTGTCCAGGATTGGGTCGGGACAAGGTAGCAGGCTCGAAACTAAACGGCGTACACGAGGGAGAGAGATAAAGGGGAAGGGGCAGAGCCCGTAGGAAGAGACACACGTAGAGGCACCGATTCATTTTATTTCCCGGGTACGGTGTCGCCAACCCAATTAAAGACGTCCCAACAGGCGACGACCGTCCTATCTGACGAGGCTGCCGGCCACCCCCCAGTAGCAGTCGGTTTAGGTTAGGCTAGGTCCCCCCTGTCGTCCCTATACGATAGGTGGCTGAAGCGTCCCTCCAACCCTCTTCCTGAACCGTCGAAATCTACGAACCAACACTGCCACGGAAGGCACTGGAGACCAAAGCCAGGAGGGACCCAGAGATAGCGAGAGAGAGTGTACATGCATGTATGAGAGAGACACGAGCACTGCCAGACCCCCGCCGTTCCTGATAATCCAATCGAAGCCCTAATTCTAACTCGGCAACCCGAAATTCCCGCCGGTTTGCTGAATAGGGTACGCTGCCTCGATCCTGGGGACACAATGGGGGCGCGACTCCGGACTACAAACCTGCAGTACCCGGGGCTAACGAGATCCCCGTTAAACGACCGCCGATTCGTACGTTTCGCAGCGAGAGCCCAGAAGAAATTTGCGAACGGCTTCCTTAGGTCAAAGGTCGGGGGGGGGGTGTCCGGTTCATTCGCACGGATGGGGAACGATCTCGACCAGTTCCTGTGATGACGGAAGATGATCTAGGTGGATTGATCTGGGTTAGTATTGTGGAATACTTGGACTGAGGCTATTAGTTTCTACTTTTATCGTGGTATGTTGATTTGAAGCTTTGTATTGGAATGTAGGTGGATCTTTTTAACCCCACTGTGAATGTTTAGCTGTTAAAAAGAATATTTGACTTGAGTTGAAGTTACAGTTGAACTGAGAGGCGCGGTAAGGACAGTGAAGACACTTGCGCATCATATTTTAATTGTTTCCTAGCATCAATTCGACAAGAGGGAATTTTCTTTTGTAAAGACGTCTTCGTAGTCCTAGTAGTAGTAGTAGTTCCAATCAGTAAATCCCCAGAAATCTGGATGTTTATAACCATCCACAGTTCAGCTGATCGAGTACTCGAACCACCATCGCAGTGCTACGATCGAACAACAAACTCTCGCCTCTCCTATACCCCAACGAACGATAAATCAGTCCTATGAGTTCCATCGAAACGGGCCTAGAAAACTCGAAGGGCGCCTGGCTCGAGGGTCGTAATTAATTAAACAAGCAATTCATTACACATTCTACCCTCGTCCCACAGCCAAAGGTGGCCGCCGCAGAAAGGACGTTGAAGGGAGGAGGGCGAAGGAAACTGATCGAGAGGAGGCTACGCTTCTCCAGTGGTCCCTCTGAGGATGAATCCGCCGGAGGCGGAAGTTCCAAGGGATATCGGTGTTGCCGCGGCCGTTCGGACCGATCCATTCTTTGTTAGAAAAGCTTGAAAACGGCCTAAAGGCTAAGCTTCGCGCGTTCGAAGAGGGATCGTCGATTCAGAGACGGGGGGAGGACGCGACGGAACGAAATGAGGAGCTGTCGCTGGCAGCTGCTAACTCTCGAGAAATTCCCTGGCAGTCACCCTGCCCGCGTAAAGGGGTTGTGTCCAATGAAATCGATAAGGGAGTAACGACTCACGAGGAGGTCCGAGCCACTTACCACGTCGACGACGAAAAATCTGCGAGAACGGTCACTACAGATCGTTAGCCACGTGGAATTGATTGAAAATGATTAACCCCTTCAGGGATAAATTATTAAGATCAGATAAAGATAATTTTGTTTTTATTTTTCAGCTGCATCTATTTTAAATATATTTATGAATATTAATGATAATCAGTTGGTGGGTTATCCTTTTTTTTTCTTGTTAAGATATTGCTGAATGTGTGTTTATTCACAATAAGAATCGTACTGTACTGAATTGAAAGTAGAACCAGAATGTATTATAAATTTTCAAAAGTGGAATACTCTTTTTTAGTAAGTATTTTGAATCTGTGACATAATGATTTGTTTGAAGACTTCAAAGTAATATTTCAGGAGAAACATTAGACTACTGGTAACAGAAGATTTCTGGCACATTAGAGGAACATGATAGACAAGCTCCCTAAATATTATGTAATAACAGTTAATGAGGGGGCGACTGTTTCGGAGGATGTGACTGTAATAAAATTAGGGAGCGTGTCAAAGAGGAGGAAGCGGTCGATCCAAAGAAATGCCGATCGACCACCCACGGCCACCCAGCCCTTTCATCTAGCGCCGCTTCCCTTCGACTTCGCGCTGGATCCCTTTATTCTGGGAAAACAGTTTGTTTTCATAAAAGATGTAACGCACCGCCCGGTTCACAACGCCATAAGCTAGACCAAGATTGAAACATCGAAAAAAAAACTAGAGCAACCTACCTAATATTAGCACCCTCGTGTTTCAAAATGAAGCTTTTAATGTCTTCTAACGATACAAATAGCGAATTTCCAAACACACCTTCCATTTGTACAATATACATCGTTGAAGATAAACTTTCCATGAACAAGTCTCATCGACATCTTTCGCGAAGATCGCTAACCCAAGAGCCATCGGTATCTCCTCTATTATCCAAATTTCGATATTCAAATCTACCTATCAATAAACTAGTAAAGACCTCTAACCCAAGAATTATCATGACCTCCTTTAACGCCCATGGTTCGACCATCGCATCTACCTTACCATTCATACGATAAACACCTTTAACGACCAATCTTCCACAAGTCAACCAAGATCTCCAACTACCGCCATGTACGTCCTGTATCGCCCAAGTTTTCGATCGCTCAATCCCTCCATCACGTCCGGAACAAGATTTGCAAACAGGGAGGGCTTCCAGCGGGAATGGAGGGTGGTGGTAAATTTCGCGAGCACAATGCCTTGCTCTCCGCGCGGCGGTTTACGTAACCGTGAGACGTTTTCGGGGACACCGCCCCCTGTCCCGCAGGGTGGTAGTTCGCGGGGAGCAGGCTGCAGCCGCGTCGACGACGTCGACCCACCCGAATAACCCGTGGGTTCACGGTAATTGTATGTCTCGAAAACGGGCGCAGTCGTCGGAGAACCCGTTGGCCGGCCCCGAGGGAAGCAACCAGGGTTGGAGGAAGAGGAGGAGGAAACTTGGTAGGCGTCGCCGGGGCGCACAATATCTCCGCGGCTAAACGCCGCAGCCCTTTATCAATGTTATGGCGGCCGGCCGCGGTTATAAATAATGGCAATTGCGCGAAACTTAGCCGGTTAGGTAACGGTCGAGCGGCGGGAACCGCACCCCGCCCTCCCCTCCATGGGCCATTCCGAAACTTGCGGCTTTCAATGCCCCCCTGCTGTAAAGGAGTTACGGAGCATACACGATCGGGAGACTTACACTGCGATTTTTTGTCGCGACGAATGAACGTACAGTGCCTTTTTGGACGGATGAATCGTTTCTGGGAGACTAAGATTTTCTTAGCTAACTAGATCTAGCTGCAAAGGATAGGATGTTCGTTCTGAAGGCATCTTTGAATGGTTGGAACTTTCCCTTGAGGGGAAGGTTCTGTTTGGAATGATAAAATTCTTGTCTGGAAGCCTACGATTTTCTCTGGACATCTGGAACTTTTCTCTGAGAAGCTAGTAACTGTCTTGGAAGGCTAGAATTTTTCTTTGGAAGTACAGTTGCATATTTTCCAATACATAGTTGGACGACTTGTCAACAACACGACCGACCGTCAATACTACCTCTTAAATACACGAACAAAATCTTTCTAATTATAACGTTTGTCTAACACAACAGATTCGTCCTCTAATGTTACTGAAATAACACCCCAAAACACCTACCATTAAACTTTCTACCGAACCGAAATAAAATCTCTGTTTTCAAACGTTGTTTGTCCATTGCATCCAGGACACTTACGTTCTAATACAATATAAATAATAATTAAGAACAGTAATGCTTACAGTGATACTCACTGGTCTTGGATCGCGGTTCCCGCGGCCCGTCCACGGTCACTTTGATGGCCTTGGTGTAGGTGGCGACCTGGGGCGGCGTCGTGGACACGGTGATCGTCAACGTGAAGCTCTTCCCTACAACAACCGTGGATGGAAACGTGTGACGAAAGTGAAACAAACACCGTTTTCCACAAATTGTAATTATTTTTTTCTTTCTTTCTGTGCATCCGCGATTCGCGGCGCGGACCGATTGTGGGGGGGGGGGGGGGGGGGCTGAAACTCGGTGGTAACCGAATTAACCGTCGGTAATGTATCGAGGGCGTCGTCGACGGTGACGGTGGGCCGGCTCCCAGCCGCCGCGGTCCGAGTCGAGTGGACCGGTTGCGCGTCGAGTTATGTTAAAAAGCCTATTAAACGCCCGTCATCCCCACGAAAAACAACCCTTCGCGTAATTACAGTCGAAAACTCGGGACCGGTTTGTTCGGGATTTTACGCGGCCCGTTGTGTTGATTATGAATTCGTGGGAAATTCTGCGGCGAATCGATTCGATGGAATCTTTTCGAGGTTTTCGACGGTTATTTGGTGGTTTTCATTTTTCAACGTGGTGTACAACGATGCTTCTACTGAATTATAATCCAATGTTTTTTATTGATCCGCAGCAGACATTTATTCGGATAATCGTGATGAGAGGTATGGTTTGTCCTCTGGCAAGGAAAGGCACGGAAATGTCCCCCTTTCGGGTCGAAACTTCGAGGGGTGGTTTCACCCCTTAAAGTCGCGTCTCGGCCGATAAAAAAAAATACGTATAACTTATTTTTGACTGCTTAAGAAGCATATGAAGTTTCATTAAAATCAGAGAGGGACAATTCCGTGCCTTCATTTGGCAGCGAGGTGGAGGGATGGTATTGCAGTCGAAAGGGGGATGCTTCGATGGATGCCTCGTTAAATTGCGAACAATGTTGCGTAAAAAAAAGTGGTTCCACGCAAAACACAATGATTGCACACGCAGAGGTTCACCGCAATTCCGCGTGCAACCCTCGTTCACTATTTTTCTCACCCCAATCGTTTCTCACCTCCGGGGTGGATCGCTGATCGCGCGCGGCTTCCTCTGTCTCGCCCTTTCCGATCGAACGGAGGATCCTAAAACTGGGCGGGTTTCGTGTTCGTCACGTTCGCGTGATTCGTGTTGTGAAATCGAGTCGATTGTCTCGTTGGAGCATTATTTACTTTCAGGGAATATCTAAAGACCATAGTTTTATCAGAAGACGAAGCACTCCTTGTACAATATTCGTATAATGTAAACGAAAATTTATTTATTCCGTAATTTGAAGAAGTAAAATTTAAAATTCCAAGATCCAAATTTAACATAAAAATATTTAACGTTTAAGGTGAAGTCTCGTAACTTCTTATTACTAAATTTGAAATATGAGGGACTACATTAGCTCGAGTTTCCCCTCCACTTCGACGTCTAGGCTGACGTGGGCTGAAGGAAAGAAAGAAAGGAAGGGCGAGGTACCATCGGGGGAATAATGGCGAGTGTCGAGCGTGGCCACACGGTGGTTCACCACGCGAGCTTCTCGTTTTCCAGCAGGGGATCCCGTCAGTTTGCTGCAAGTCACGGCATCCTCCTGGTCTGGCAAAACCTTTTCACCTATTGCGGGGGTTCGTGGTTGCACAGTTTGGTGGGTACACGTAAGTATCACCCTCGGTGCCAGTCGCCGTGGAACCATTAAAAGTCCGACTATTTCATCCCCCCTTTCCCCCATACCGAAGCCACCCCATACGCTTTCTTCGATTTTCTGAAGAAAGCGTTCTCTATTTCTTCGAGTTCGATGGAGGATACGTCGATGTCTTGTAATTCTTGGATAGTAAACTGGGGTGAATGTGGAGTGGAATATTACAGAGAATTTAGGGAATTAAACGAAGCCTGAATCTAAAGTCTAAAGGCGTGTTACGCATTGTCAAAACCTCTTCAAAATGTCAAGGAGTGCTCAAATTCTAAACAATTTCTTATTTATGAAAATTAGTGATAACTAAACTTTCGATTAATATCAATTTTACTATAAATGAAGAATTTCCAATTATTAGAATGATAAGTTCTCATTTGCCTTGTTTTCTTCCAATTTTTCTTCCCTCAAAAACTAGATTCTATCTCAATAGAAATTTTCGAAGAGTATTGGTACGATGATTGCAACGTGGAAAATTGTTAACATTTATCGTAGCTCCCAATGTTCACCCAATCGAAATTGTTTCAACGTGTTTCGCGCAGCGCGTCCGTCGCCGGATGAGGGAAGGTTTATTCGCGAGAGCAAAGTTGAAGGATACCCGTCTGCTCCCAGCTGAAACTATAAGCGCTCAAATGATCTATCTCGTTATAGGGCTTAGGGCTGAAGGGGTGGAAACGATCCGCCGGGTACCTTCGGGGTGTAGACTTCCCAGTGATGGAGCTGGCATTACAGCCGAACGTGCAGGAACCGGGCCATAGCTTATCATCGATATTACAAAGCTCTCGACTAACGTGCTCGGTTTTCCTCGAATTGTAGACACTTTTAAGTGATTCCCGTGGGATGCGGCGGTTTCAACGCAATATCGTATTCAACTTGGCTGAATATCGACTTCCTGGAACCTATCATTTGTTTGTAACGAAATAGATTCAATATGAACCGAAAACTCTTATACACACTCCTTTTTAACCCTCATAGGTCCACCATGTTCGAAATTTAATTTGCCCCTCGGTGTCAAATTAACACAGTGATAAAAAATGAATATAATGAAGATAAATAGTTAAATTTGCAAATTCTTTGAAATAAATGTCAGGGAGCCTCCGTGAAATTTAACTATACATGACAGAATAAAATTTCTTGGGAGAAAAATGTGTCAAATTGACAGAAGGGATGGATGAGGGTCAAAGTAGTTTCAATTTCATGAAACTCACAGTGAATGTAATATTCAGAGAAATGGGAATACGTAAAATAGGGATGGTGGAAGCGAAAAGAAGAAGGAACAAAACAATAATAATCGGATCACAGAGTTTACATTAAATAAATATACGCGTCAGTGTATATTTTAACAGTAATTTCGCCAGTTTCAGTCTGATCTTGTATACGAAGGGAAATGTTCCATTGACACACTGCGTGGGCATAACTAGAATGACTTCCTTTGTTCACGAAAGGCTGTCACATTTGTTTCACCAGAATACGTACCAAATTACTTATCTTATATCGTTATTAAAATAAAAACGAATCAGTTTCTTCTACAATATACAATCTATACCTTCCTCAAGAAATATTATTTCTCACCACGATTTCAGTATACCTGGTTCGTTTTGATTTCAACCACAATACATAAGAATTGAAAATTTCAGGGTAATTTCACTACTATTTCACGCAGTGTATTAGAACAGCAGGCGCGATCAACGTGGAATATTTACAGGCAATTTCACTTGTTTATTCACCAACCATTATATTTTACTAACGTCGAATCGAACGTGTCGCGAACGACGGAGGGTCGACGAACATCGAAGGGTGCAAAACGGAGTGGCGTTGATTTCGTAGGACGAGGCAAGGTGGTCCGGTTGTCGCTGCAGGCAGTTCATCCTGACCATAATCAATTCGTTATCAGAGTACAATAGCGCATTTGCGATTCGTTTGGGGAAAATTGAAATTAATTAATTGGCTCGACAGCGGCCCCCGACAGCCTGGTCATGATGCACCGACAACGGGGGGTCCTGTCTCTGTGTACGTATACACGTCCCAGGTCCACATTTTCGCCGGAGAATCGTATGCTAACGAGCATTATCAGGAAATCGATCTCAATGCACTTCCGCCCGGCTGTCTCTCTTTCCAATTGCACCCGGTGCCAATTCAATTTGTCCCCTTAATGTTCTTCATATTCTTCCGTTTTTCGATTCGACGCCGCGCGATCCACTTTTTTTCACCTCTCTTCGCGATCGGCGGCGTGACCGAAGCCTCTAATATCGAACAGTTTCACTTTATTGGTATCCGATTGCTGGTGATCATTTGGACAAGTTTATATTCAGCGATTCAATATCATGAATGAAGGCTGTACAAGCGGTTTTTTATCGATGGAGCTCCTCCATCGATAAATAAAAGTAATAGACGTATAAGGTAATCGATATATCGATATATAACGAAGCTTCATGTCTAACTCAATTCTAGGTACTTTTTCCTTCAGGAAGCTGACTTTGGAATTTATTTTTCGCGAATCGGTTAGGACAATTTCCAAGAGCCTCTTGTACTGAATAGACTGGAGCCACCCTGTGACATCCATACACAGGAATGTCCCTGAGTTCGACAAACGGCAGGATCATTAAGGATTCGCTAGAGTTTGGCGCACATTGGTTCCCAGGGGAATATTCAAGGAGCCCGGGGGAGTCGCAGGAATCCTGACGAGAGACACTTCTCTTACATTCTTCATCCTAGCTTATGTTAATTCCGCGCTCGACGAAAACAATTGAGGGCTAATCCCAGACAAATGACTGACGCGCTTCGACGAACGTCCCCCCATACCCGAATGGAAAATTCCCCCATCCGGTTCCGGATAGGAAAATTCAGCTATTCCGTGATTTTCGAACGCCCTGCTTTGCGAACCCGCAGCGTATAACGATCCTACTCTCGATTTAATCTGAATTAATATCAGATGAAGCAACGATTTACCCATTATACCTGTTCAAAATTAAGTAGAATATTGTTAAAAAAATAGAAATTATTATCTATATTTTACCAAATATAATACTGTATATCATAACTATAAAATCACTAGTAAACTCTAACCTTATTTTTCCTACAAGTATTACTATTTCACTAAGCCCCTCAATTTTAAAATGGTATTATAGTTATCCCACTTAGTATAATATGTCGTTAATATTAAGTCCTAAAATAAAACCAACGAAATATACAAAAGATGTGACAATCTGTCGAACAGAGGAGATCAGTAGAATAAAGAGGATTAAGGCTCAGTAGTTGCCTGGGGTCCAGACGACCGCAATTTCACCTACTTCCGCGATATTTTTTTACATATGTTAACATTGAAATTTTTCCCAAAACGCGGTTATTCTATGTTCTACAATATTAAAAGTATGTTCCATAATTTTCCAAAACCAGTGGAAGGTATACTGTAAAACTGGCAACCGTTTCAAAGTCAGCAGTGGTCAATTTCACCCCCTGCGACTATGATAAAACACTCAAGAAGTCTGACCACGGAGGATCAATGTCGAGATCTAGGAATGAATCAAAATTTCCAAGAGTATGACCGTCGTTAAAAGAAAACGAGTAGACAAAGTGGGTCGCCAGAGCAGTCAGCTAATCGACCATCGGAAGACATGGGCTCGACAGAACAGAAGCCCTAATAACGTTAATTAAAAGCCAACTGAAACCTCAATTAATATCGGCCGCCCCTGTTTCCAGGGACGTCGCCTTCTTCGAGACCCGGTCGTCCTTTTCCGTCGAACGACGGAGCGACACCGACGAAGGAAAGTAAAGAGGAGGTTTCACGGTGGCGATGCGGACAAATAAAACCCATTACCCACTCCAAAGACGCTCGTCCTCGTCTCCTCGAATCCAGCTTGCACACCAATCAACCCTAGCCCCGCAACCCCCTTGGCGAAACGTCCAATTCCACGGCTTGCTGCCACCCCCAATCCCCCCCATCCACACCGGAAGAACACTTTTCCCGAAGGAAAAACGAGGGTGTCTCAAGACGGTCCACGACCTACCCTTACTACGGCGAATTCTTTGACGGGACTTCCTGGATCCATCCCCTCTCAACCTTCCACGGTTTCTTCCGCGAGATTGTCAACGGGGGGATCAGCAACTTTCGCAGTTTCATGAATGAAGAAGAGAGGAAGGGGATACGTCGTCCCGGAGGAACTTAAAGATTCGAGTTTGGATACACGAAATTTAGGAGTTTGACGGATCGAGGTGAAAGATGATTTAGAGAGTATTTAGAATTTCGGGCTGATATTTAATTGTTTAGGTTTGTTACTTTTGCGGTATTATTCGGATGCAGAAGCAGGGTGGAATCTTCTAGATGAGTAAGAAAGGAACTTCACATTTAGTATAATAGGGTTCTTTTGTATACTGCTGTTAGAGAAGAATCAACAGATTGGGACTCACGAATGAAAAATGGTTATTCTATTACGCGGACTGGTTTAACTGTTTGACGGAGAAACTTTTTGGTAAAGACTTTGTGTTTTAGACACATAGGTCGTATAAACGGAGTACTGAAGTTAATTTCGGAGTATCGTGACTCACCTCTGCCGCTCCTCCCGACGAACCTAAGATCGTTGAACTTGGCCACCTGATTCTTCATAAGGGCGGTCGAGTTTCTAAGCTCAGCACAACAGTTCTCGTCGTTACCAGCACGAACAGTCACCAATGTGCCATCGCCGACCTCGCCAAGGGCCACGACCTTGAATGCCACCGGAAGAGTCTTGTTGGACCTCCAGTGAGCTGGTAATACGCTGCAGACCAGATGGGGCGATCCTGCGACAGAAGGAAATGCCTGTAAAGTACGCCCCTTTAAACCTCAATGTAGGTTCTTTCAAAAGAACAAGATTTAAAATTGTTTTATGTAATTAATTTCATAAATTAGATTTTAATATATATATATATAGTAAATATTAATATATTATATAATAGATATTAATTTCATAAAAATAGATATGTTTGATATCCCTGACTCAAGGAGAACGTTCAAGTAAACCTATCGAACATGCATCCATAAATGATATCCCTGTCCCTCCAACATTCAAAACCATTCCACGAGCCTAGAAGAATATTGCAAACGCTCTTATTTGTATCTGAGTTTAAAGTTGTAATTTCGGCCAGTTATGTAAGTCAAATACTAGTGTGACACATGAAAATGCTTTCCTCATTCAAGGATTTAATCTAATTACCTGTTTAAAGGTCAGAAAGAAGGTCTTACATACTATTGCAATTCACTATGTATCATTCGAATAAAGTTCTACCCAGTTCTAGGTCAGAAATTGCATTCTTTTCGCACCTGTTCGGACCAATTCCCCGGGATGCTCGCTGACGAAGTCTCCGAGTGTCCTCTCCGCCAGGATGTCGTTGGTCATCTTCGTGTACGCATCGGTCAACGGGGAAACACCCGACTCTGGCGAGGCGGCAGTGCCAGGAGCCGAGGCTCCTGTCAACTGCATCCTACCGTTGGATCCACCGCCCTCGACGGCAGCGCTGGCCGTTCCTCCACAGCTGGACTCGTTGCTGGACCCCCTCACCGAGGCAGCGCTGCCTCCTCCGGTGCCGCCGCTTCCGGATACCGTGGTTCCGCCACCGCCGCCGTTGCAACGGCCGAATATATCCATAGGCAGTCAGAACGCCGGAAGATACATCCTTCCATTCGGTTCACGCACACGGAACGCCCGTCGACTTTCGAGTGACTTCAGTGGAACGGTACCGTTCTGGGTCAGGCGATTTTGCCTGACATCCTGGCTGCCGACGGTGGGACTTTGGATCAGCTTCTTTGTTCAATCTGCGGGTCACCAGTGTCTCGATGGACTTCTGGTGTTGTGATCTTGGTAGATTCTTCAGGGGACTAGAGGTCTTCAAGTTTCTTTGGCTTAGGATAATTGTGTTGTAGCTTGAGAGGCCTTGATGGTTTTCATTCGACTTTCTCAGGGTTTTTGATGATGTTGGCACGATTTGGTAAGGATGGTTGTAGAGAGATTCTAGTGAGACTTCGTTTCTGGGTGGCTAGTAGATGTGGAGGAGTTAGTGTCCTTTTGAATTGACCTGCAAGCAGCAAGATTCAGGCGTGGTCAGTCTAGATATTGTGTTTGTGAGGTAGATGTGGTAGTTGATAATGTAGGATAGATAATAGTTCCTTCAGAAATGGAACTGGCAGTTATTGACATTGTACTATATTACTACAGGCTATAAATGGTTAGTTCCCAATACAATTTGAATAAAAAGCCATAAATCCTGTGGCAACTAATATTTCAAGCACAAGAAACACCTGAGTACCGACAAAAGTGACCTGCAGAATACTCCAAACATACACAAACTATATGTGCCTGTGATTATGAAAGTGGCCTAAGTGAATGAATTAGTCTGCAATTTCACCCCAGCTTCTAATCCCCAGAAATTTCCACCAGTCCCATTACGATCATGAGAGTGTCGAGAGACAAAAGGACAATCCTCCGACCACCAGGGTCCAAAAATTGATTCCACGTCGTCGGGAAAGGGTCGGTCCCAGGAGCCAGTCGAAACGCTAGGCGTCTAGCAAGGTCCCGTCGCTGCCCCGACCAACCCTTTACCATCCCTAATCCATTTAACGAACCTGCCCCAGGAGCCTTTATCTCGATGCCCTTTAACCGAATCTTCCTAGTATTAAACGCGACACCGGAATGCTGGGACATTCGCGAGAAGAGGACCGCCGGAGACGATACGGACTGATAGGGGCGAGACGAGCGGAAAAGGGAGAAGAGAGATAGAGAGGCGAAACACGGTTGACACGGACAGGAATCCCGTTCGCGCACTTTTCACGCGGGCCGGCCCGGTGACGTCACCGTTCATTCAGTAATTTTTGCGCACGTCACCGGGGCTGACACACCGGATCCAGGTGGTTCCAGGAGGGGTTGGACCGACCGGCTCAGTGGTGGGGGACGGAAAAAATAGGGGAAAAAGAACTCCCGCCGCCGGCGGCGGGCAACCCCCACACGGCCAGAACGGATACCCCCAGCCCCTACGCACGTACAACCGCGTGTCAAACTGCACGTGGTACGGCTGCCACGTTGTCCTGTCAATGCCAGTGATCGAGGACACCCGGCTTACACGCGTAGAATCGTCGGATCGAGACACTCGAGAAAGTCGTCGTGTGGACACTTCGGGACACGTTAATTATCGAGGAACATTATGGAGGATTAGAGAGAAGGATCTAGGATTGAGGAGTTGATGACGAGGAAGATTGATTGATTGGGGATGAGCACTTAGGAACATTGGTCGTGTTTCTGAAGGGATTTTTTGAGGGTCTGCGAAGTTGAAGAACTTGGTTGTTCGGTAGAGAAGTCGATTAAGGGGATGTTTCGCGGGGAAAAGCAGGGACTCCCTCCCTTGGGATAGGAAGGTTTTGTTGAGAAGTCTTACGACCCTCCCGAAAGAATTCCCAACGACGTGCGACAGCTAAGATTCCCGCCTAACTTCGCATTCAAATCTCTTACCGGGCCGGTGCCGTGTCCACACTTCCGGGGGAAATACGCGAACCGCGTCCTTTCCAGAAATATCAACGAAGTTATTTTATGTATTACTCGTTCTTCAGGTTTGTGTACGTGAAAGTCGGTTGATTGGAGGCCAGAAAGTTAGCAATTCGAAGGTCTTTCTCCAGATGTCAGAGATTCCTCCGAACAATCATCGAAAACCACGTCTCTGCCCACAATTCTACCCTTTCTTCCGTACAATATCATCCTCGTGTGGTACCAAGGCGGGAACAATCTCCTCGAGGACACCACTCACTAGACCGCGTTCACCATCGCGACCGACGGTCGGCAATCAACGACACTGTCTTCCAGCACTCACCACAACATTCTACCAAAAATCACTATCCTGGGATCATCGATTACCCAACGAATCCCCACTGATCCACTCTGCAACGAAACTCCGAGACAAATCCATCAGCTGGTCAATGATCACGACCATCGAGGGACATCGTTACACAAAGTCCTGAGTCATTCACAGAAATACGTCGCGGCACACTAACAAACAAAAATGAACAACAACACTTCCTAAACGATTATATCCTAAGAAGTCCAATGGATCCTCTCCAGAGGCTGCTCGAAGGTATCACTTTCGACCAGACCCGGTCTGTTTTGGTGGATCGCAGAGACCGTGGTGTCTCGGTATACCCGGTTCAGGGGGGCCACTAACTATAATTTCGGCGGTTCGTGTGAGGCAACAGCCGTTGACGCACTGGTCCATGCCAACACACGCAGCATCCCTTTCCCCTTGTCCCGTTTCCTCTCACACCCCGTCGGTGGCGACCCCACTCCTTTCCTCTCTGTCGTCGGTCTCGCTTCAGCACGTTGGTCTTCCTCTCTTCGTCTCCGATCTCTCTTTTCGTCCCTCGTTCTCGGCGTGGCTTCCAGGCCCTCTTTCTCTCTCTCCGCCACCGCCGCCGTTGCTCTTTATCGCTTTATCTCCCACCGGACCACCCCCGCCCGTCCTCCACCACCAACCCCCTCTGAACCCTCTCCTCTCCCCGCCTTCCACTATCTCTCTCTTTCTCGTTTCTCTTTCAACCCTCCCTCCCCCATACGCCACCCTCAGTCGACCCTTTTGCGGTGTGCGGCCTCGCTCGCGTGCGTCCAACAGTGGGAGGGTTCGATCGATCTATCGAACGTGATTCCGTTCGGCAGTTTTTTCCTTCGCCTTCGCGGCACTAGCCCCCGAAACTCGCGGGGAATACGACTCGTAACGAGTGTCGTTATGTTTAATTAGCCACCTACGCCCCACCACCCACGGGTACTCGCTGGTCGAGAGTTAATGAGGAGACGGCACCGCCGCGCCGACTCATTGTTCCCGCGTGTTTGCCCGAGACGATTGTTTGATCGTCGATTGTGTCTGTCCGGCGACAGTGGACGGAGAGTCGATATCGATCGATTTTTTTGGAGGGAATGAGGGAGTTGCAGAGGGATGATTTTTTCGGTGATTTCTGCCGAGGTTTCGACGGACAGGCCATCGTGCCGATTTTGCGGATGAAAGTATCGATCTTTGGTGCGAGTTCTATCAAGAATGGAATTTTTGTATTCCAGCTAGCCCTTATTAAAAGTGAGAATTAAACGACTGCTTTTGACCTTTTTTTAATAGAAGTACCCTTCAGAAGTCAATCCCTTCTGCCAGAAATCTGCATTCTGTGAATATCGTCATGATTCAATATACATATTGACATTTGTGTTTCATTCTAATTCATCGTCCATTTGATCAACTTTGATGCCCTGTATTTTGTCTAAATAAAGAAACGAGCTCCTACGGTTTTTACTTCGAATAAGGGCTAGGTGGACTACAAAACACATAACAGATTTTTCAATTTCCTGTGTAACAGTACAAAACGTTCTTTTGTTAGATCAGCTGAGATTCAACGAGAACGGCACAAATTGTTTAAATGTAGAATTAAAAGGTTCATTTAAGGTAATTCGTTAATTTCAGTTAACAAATAGATGTTCATTCAAGCTAATAGATATCACGAGAAGTGCTCTGTTCTCCATCAGATCGATCAATCTGAGATTCAAAGGGATCAGAGGGCAAGAAGTGTGCAAGATCGGTAGCATCGATCCTCCATCCGGAAATCCCCGCGTGATTCGTACGTGTTTGCCCGCCGGCAAGTCCGCGGACCCGGTGCGGCTATCGTCAGGATATATTCGCACAGGAAATGGGTAGTTCCATTGTTTGCACGTTCGTACAAACAGTGCAGCTGTGAGGATGCGCTGGACTCGGCGGATCTCTCTCTCTCTCTCTCTCTCTCTGTTTGATTTTCGAAAGTGAAGCTCCATTGTACCGTATCCCGGCGCGTTGTACACCGGGGGCGTGCAGGTTTCAATCGAAAAGAATCGAGAGGTCACTTGGAAGGAAGCCTGGATCATGCTGGAAGATATCCCCTATACAAATTGGATTCAATGGCCTCTTTTCACCGATCATCGATCAGCACAGATTTCACCGAACATCAGCGAGATTCTGCTCGAAAAAATCGTGAAAACCTGACAGACTTTACTTAAATTAGTTTTGTTTCAACGAAAGTCCAGAATGTTCTGTGTAAATCTAGGAAGATTTCTGTAATTTTGAGAAGATCTAGGAGAGATTTTGGACACCTAAAATCAATCTTCTGTTACTTGATAGTTACGAAAAACAATACTTCCTGTGTTCCATACGAAAGTTCACGACAGTGTCATCATGATATGTAAACTGACGAACGGAATAGGGTCTGAATGCGAATAATCAAAAATAGAATATAACTATTATCATCATCATAGATGAATACCAATACCGATTGATTACTCTAATAAATTTTCCTCGAATACCCAAAAAGCACTTTGTTCTTCCACTTACATATTAGTGGTCAATATTAATCTTCTGCTTGATAGAGAAATACGTTTTAAGCTTGTTGGAATTCCGACACGAATTCGGAGGGGTTAAAAAAGCCTCGAATTTCACGGTGACTTTCGGCCACGGTCGGTCCACCGAGTACACCGGGGCTAAAACGGTGGAAACAGAGAGCCTGGCGCCGCGGTGCCCCTCCAATCTGTCGCTTATTTGAATAACAGCAACGAGGTCCCGCGGAATGAATCGCGCGCGTGTACAGGGAGGGGAAGGGGAG